ACAGGGAGAACTGATGAAAATCTGGCACTGAAGCAGTGGGAGAGTCAGGCTTAAATACAGAGGAACCCAGGTGCGTGGCATGAGGCAAATTAGAGTTTCTGTGATGGGAGGGGGTGAAGCAATGAGTGGAAAAATGGGTGAGAGTGGGCATGAGACTGGATAAACATGAAACAAGACTGGGACTGGGCAGACAGAGACTAATTCATAACAGAATAATCTTCTTTTATTCATAATTTTAACAATGTATAAAAAAGAAATCACAAAAAGAATGTTATTACAATGTTTTATTGTGCTTTGATGTAAATCACTGCTTGAACTTTAACTGTGAAACCACAGTAATTATGACCCCTGCACGCGAAGTGGGAGTGATATTGTTTTCATACTGTTTATTTTATTATGACCCCCGCACTCGAGGCGTAAGCGGGAGTCATACTGTTTTCATACTGTTCTTTTTTTCTCCTGAGGTTTTTGGTCAACAGTAGCACAGAAACGGCTGCACCGGTCAAAATGAAATTTGCCAGGATTGTAGATGAGTCCGACCTACACTGCGCCAGCCAACAGTTTTACGATAGACCCCATATTTGAGAAGGGGGCTCCTTTCAAAGTGGGGGTGTCTGGACATGCAAAAATGCTTATAACCCAGAAACTGTTTAACATAGGGGCTTCAAATTTCTTTTGTTGTTTAGCTCTGATGAAGCTCTATCCATCAGGCCCACCAATCAGTGCACCCACCCCCACTCCCCGGACCCCCAGCTTTCTGAAAAAGGGGTCTCTGGACATGCAAAAATGCTTATAATTCAGAAACTGTTCAACATAGAAGCTTCAGATTTCTTTTTTGTTTACCTCTAATGAAGCTACCCATCAGGCCCACCATCAGTGCCCCTGCCCCCAGACCCCCAATTTATCTGAAAAAGGGGTATCTTTGATTGTAGATTTTGAAGTTTAAATATTTTACCTAATTAAACTTTGGAAATATTCTGTTTTTGAGAAGAATACAGAGAAGTCCTCCTGGCACTTAACAGCATATACAATATTGTATACGCTGTTAAGTGCCAGGAGGACTGCGACCAGTAATACATCAGGGAAACAAAGCAACCACTGTTCAAAAGAATGTCCCAACACAGACGAGCTAATTCTAATGGCCAGAACTCTGCAGTTTTCACTCATTTACAGGCCAGCAGTCACTCTTTCAGAGATGAGGATGTTCTCATTCTTGATAGAGAGGAACCTTGGTTTGAGAGAGGAGTAAAAGAAGCCATTTTTGTGAAGAAAGACTGTCCATCATTAAACAGAGGTGGAGGCCTCCATTTTCAGTTGTCCCCCTTCTACAGCGCTGCCATTGGCAGTATCACTCCACCCCCTGTTAACAATAGGTATTAATTAGGTGTGTACGATAGCATGTGATGTGAGTATCAGTCACCTGGAGGCAGGACTCAAAAGCCTGAATTTTGCCTGAAACTCTCAGAAAGAAGAAGTCTCTTGGAAGAGAGACGAAATGTTTCATTAAAGAAGAACCCGTCCAGAGGACCTATACAATTTTTTTCCTTTTAATACAGAGAAGTGCTTCGTCTGTGATCTTCGAGTGAAAAAAGCTCAGAAGACGCTGAAGGAGTAATGTAAACACGTCTGGAAAGTGTCAGAGTGGATGAGGTTCCGAGAAGTTCTTCACCAATTGGATGATCTTTCCTCCAACTTGAGCCATGGTGGTGAAACTATCCCCGGAATGTAATGGCTGACCATTACTGAGCGTACCTGTGTCTGGCTGAATTTGTTGAGACATCTGCCCTTTCTGGTTAAAATCCACATTCTTTAACAAGTGCAGCCACAGCTATCCATTTCTACTTTTCACCAAGCATTTTAAAATGAAGGATTATATTTCTAAAGCAAACAATTTTCTAAATTGGACTTTCAGTCGAAGCAGGCAGTAATTTCAAAAGGAAGACCAATGCCGGAGCTAAAAGGTTTGCTTCAGACGAAACAGAAGACTACCCACTCATTCCAAACGCTGTGGTACTCACGAAGAGTGGCTGTGTGGATGCCCTAACAGAAACCGCCTTTTCTGCTTTCCCTGCCTTATTTTCTCAACTTTGGATAACGTCTGGACTAAGGTGGGATATTGTGACATGAAAAATTTGACAAGAAGCCTCAGCAAACATGAGCAGTGTAATGCACACATTCAAAGCCAGATAGCACTAAAATTGTTTGGGATCTCAAGGATAGACTTGGCTTTGGATGAACAGCGGAGACTCAACATTAGCATCCACAATGCTAAGGTAAAGGCAAACCGAGATGTTTTGAAAGATCTCATTGATGCAATCTGCTACCTTGCCAAAGTGGAAATGATGAGAGAACAGGCTCTGCTAATTGTGGCAGCTATATTGAGCTCTTATATTGATTTTGCTGAGAAAAATGAGAAGCTAGCTAGACATTTGGAGACATTCACTGTCTTTTCTGGTTTGTCCAACAGAATACAGAATGATTTAATAGAAGCAGCCGGTGATGTCATCAGAAATGATATAAAAAAATATCAGTGCAGCCCAAGGAGGTTCTACAGAATTGGAGTGCACAAAAACCACGTGACCGTGTGATCGGCTGGTGAAGCTAACGGCTAACGCTAAATGGGCAAGACTGAATTTCCCATTACTGTACATGTTGACAACAGAGCAGAAAAAAAGGGCTGACGATGTAGAAATCATTAAAACTATCATTATTATTA